TATAGATCCATGTGAGGAGTATCACCATCTTAACAATACTAAGTTTTCCAATTCATGACACAGAATGTCTTTACATTTGTTTAGATAATCTTTAAATTTTTTCAACAATATATCATAGCTTTCAGAGTATAAGTTTTCTTAAATTTATTTCTAAGCGTTTTGTTTCTAGTTAAATTATGTCTAAGTATTTTATTCCTTTTTGATGATAGTGTAAATGGAATTTCTTAATGTTCTGATTGTTCAATGCAAATATATAGAAATACAACTGATTTTTGTATGTTGATCTTGTATCCTACAACCTTGCTGAATTCATTAGTTCTTTTTGTGAATTTTTTAGAATTTTCTATATATAAGATAATGTCATCCGCTAATAGAAATAGTTTTCCTTCTACCTTTCCAATCTTGATGTTTTTATTTTCTTACCTAACTGTCCTGACTAGAACTTCCAGAATTGGGTTAAATACAAGTGGCAAACACGGAATCCTTGTCTTGTTCCTGACCTTAGGGGGAAAGATTTCAGTCTTTTACAATTAAGTACATTATCTGAGGGTTCTTCACAGATGCCCTCTTATCAGGTTGAGGAAGTCCATTCTAGTCCTGATTTGTTGAGTGCTTTTACATTACAAAGAGGTATTATATCATGTCAAATACTTTTTTCTACATCTGTTGCTATGATCAAATGTTTTTTTGTCCTTTATTCTATTATAATATGATCTATCATATTAATTTTCAGATATTAAACCAAACATTAATTCCTAGGATAAATACACTCAGTCATGATGCATAATCCATTTCATATGTTAATAGATTTGGTTTGCTAGTATTTTATTGATAATGTTTACATCTGTATTCATAAAAGATATTGGTCTGCAGTTTTCTTGTGATGTCCTAACGTAGTGTTAATATCAGGGTAATACCAACTCAAAGCATGAGTTGGTAGTGTCCCTTTATATTTTGTAAGGGTTTGAGAAGAATTCCATATTAATTCTACTTTACATTATTTGGTAGAATTTTATCAGTGAAACCATCTAGTCCTGGCTTTTCTTTGTGAGGTTTTTTTAAAAAATATATTTTTATTGATTTCAGAGAGGAAGAGAAAGGGAGAGATAGAATTATCAATGATGAGAGAGAACAATTGATCGGCTGCCTCCTGAACACCCCCTGCCGGGGATCGAGCCTGCAACCTGTGCCCTTGACTGGAATTGAACCCAGGACCCTTCAGTCCGCAGGCCGACGCTCTATCCACTGAGCCGAACCGGCTAGGGCTGAGTTACTGTTCATTACTAATTCAATCTCTTTACTTATCTATCCAGATTTTCTATTTCTTCAGCTGTTATTTCAACAACGATTGATGACCTGGCAACCTCATATGGCACAGGTAGTAAGTATCCTGCACTCCCAAATACACAAGCTCTTGACCTACTTACCTACACTGCAATCCCTGTATCACAGGTGGGGAAATTATGTGACTTTGGACAATCTGTTCTGATGCAGACAGCCAAGCCTAAACCCCTTCTCAGGTGCATTAATGGTTGCTAGCCTTTTCCCGTATTTCCTGGTGGACAAATGTGGTAGGAAGTGAGTGGAGCAACAGGCCACGTGTACTCTGGTGACAAGGTAACAAGAAACTAGAGAAACGTTTTCACTGCAGCAACTTGAGGAATTTGATGAACTGTTCAAAACCACTCCTGCAGTCTCCTTGTCCTCCTCATCCAGCACATCTTTACACATGACATTAGCAAGTTTTTAAAGGCACCATATTTGTCACTCTAACCTTGTGTGCTCAAAATAATAAATCAAAAAAATGAGACTGTGGTCTCTGATTTCAAACCCACTACCTGACCTGGCTGGCGTGGCTCAGTGGTTGAGCATTGACTTATGAACCAGGAGGTCAAGGTTCGATTCCCAGTGAGGGCACATGCCCAGGTTACAGGCTTGATCCCCAATAAGGGGCATGCAGGAGGCAGCCAATCAATAATTCTCTCTCATCATTGCTGTTTCTATCTCTCTCTCCCTCTCCCTTCCTCTCTGAAATAAAAAATATATTTTTTTTAAAAAAACACAAACCCATTACCTGTGTGTCACTAACAAGTTTTGTGGTTTTTGTTTTGGTTTGGTTTTTTTTTTTTGCCTTTCTGGACTTTAGTTTCTTACCCATAATGGACAAAAATTACATACACCCCAAAGTACTGTTTTGATAAGTAAATAATACGTATAAAAATGCATGGAACAATGGCCGACACCTTTACCTACCATATCATACAGTAAACCATGCTGCTAACAAACACATCTGACCTTAGCCTCCGAGGTAGTTCCAGGTTGTTGGGAGGCAGGAGTGCACTTTCTATACTCTCTGCACAGGGTAGAAGATCTACGTACTGCAACTGCACAGATCATGAGAACAATGAGTCTCTCCATTCTCAAGGAAATCCACCCGGCAGAACACCACAGTGGTGGGAGGTAACAACCATAATTAAAATCACAGCCTCGGGAATCAGGTGAACCTATGCTCAAAATCTGACTCCACCTTATATTGGCTGTTATCTTGAGCAAGACACTTACCTTCTCTGAGCTTTTCATTGGTAAAATGAGGAAAATAATATTGACTCCAAGGAGATTTGATGAAGATTAAGACTATTTATAAAATGGCAAGCATAAAATAGCCACTTAGTAAACAAAACTGCTTTTATTAGTTTTTTAAATTTTATTTTAATTTAAAAATTTGTTTCATAAATAAATAAATAAGAAAGCAAGGGCTCGATGGTGGTCCAGGGCTTCTCAATCCTGACTATACATGTAACTCACCTGGAGAGCTTTGAAAAGTAAGGTTGGCTAAACTTCACTTAAGACTAATGGCATTAGACTCTCTGAGGCTGGGCCTGGACATCAGCATTTTAAATGCTCTCTAGGTAATTCCAATGTGCAGTTGGGAGTGAGAACCATATAGCTAACCAGAAAAGAAGTCCTGCTTTTTACCATCTGCAACTAATTTTTCTGATTAACGGCTACTCTCCTTACAAAATAAACCCATATATACCTTCTCAAATCAGAATAGTACCTGATGGTGAAATGGAAGCTAAGACAATTTGAACAATTCACAGAGAGGCAGGTTTAAAACTCTAGTCAGGCCCTGCAGCCCAGACCTCTTATTCGAATGCATTTCTACCGACCACTATTTCCTCAGCACAACAGCAAACCTAGTCACGACATGCCCCTCATTAAAATCCTTTAATGCACTTACCGCCTTAGAACACAGTCCAGACTCCTTAATGGGAACACCACCCTTCAGAACCTGGCCCCACAGAGTGCACGGTGAGGATGAGTCACACACACCCGTGCTCTGGTGCTGGTCTAAATAGCCAAACCACCAACCACCAAGGAGACAGTGCTCAATCTCGGTGTCCAGTTAACATGCCCAAGAGACAAGTGTTAATACAAAAGAATGCAATATGAATGGTAGCCCTGGAACTGTGCAACGTGGCAGGCTGCTGGCCCCGTCTCTCTTTCTCGCCTCATCTCCCTCTGGTCCCCTTCTCTGCCCTCACACTCACTGTCCCTTCTCTCACTTGGTCACCTTAACACACGCTTTTCCCTCAGCATGAAACATTGGTTCCTCATTTTGCAGACTTTAATGTAAATGTTATTTCCTGGTAAAAGTCTTCCCCAACCACCACCTCCACCACCACCACCAACAACAACAACAAAGTCCCCTGCCCCAGGTTCGATGCTGCTGCTATAGCTTCACTTTTACATCCCAGGACTCTCACACATCAGTGCTACTGAATGCAAGGACCATGTTGGTCTTGCTCGATTCCCAGGGTGTGGCACCTACACAGGGTTTGATGATGGTGGAGTTAAGAGGGGCCCACAAACAACTCGGTAACTGACTCACAACAAAAGGTTATTCTCCTAACTCAGGTCTCACTTTCCACATCCTCTAAGGTGAACTCTGTGGGAAATGTTAAAAACTGTTGCCCGAACTGGTTTGGCTCAGTGGATAGAGCGTCAGCCTGCGGACTCAAGGGTCCCAGGTTCGATTCTGGTCAATGGCATGTACCTTGGTTGCGGGCACATCCCCAGTGGGGATTGTGCAGGAGGCAGCTGATGGATGTTTCTCTCTCATCAATGTTTCTAACTCTCTATCCCTCTCCCTTCCTCTCTGTAAAAAATCAATAAAATATATTTTTAAAAAAAACTGTTGAATCTGGTTGTTGAATATACAATGATCTGTTCTTCCAATTTTTTATAAATTGGAAAATTTTCATAAACTTTTGGGGTAAAAATATAGTGAATTCTACTTCCATTCCTAATCCTTCCTTTCCTGCTAAATATTATTTAGCTACAGGATGCCTAGCAACAACCTGTCATAACCATGTTCCCACCACCTGATGGTAGGGCCATCAGGTAGAGAGTACCAACCTGCTGGTAGCCTAAGAAAATACTACAGAAAACTTAGGGTCTGCTAACAAAAAAGCAAGAAGCTTCTGCCATAAGCCAGATCCTGGGTTCCCAAAAAATCCTGAGATTCCATCAATTTCCTTTGATAGTCTTTCCTAGAGAAGAGAATGGCTGTTCAGGTCTGAGAAGAGGAAGAAGAAAAGGATACTGGAAAGGGTGAGCAAGCTGCAGGAGGACATGGCAGTGATATATTAAGTCACCAGGTGAGTGACATCAGCTTGCTCTGGTGCTGGCCTAGTAGCCAAATCACCAACCAGCCAAGCATGCTCACTTCCAGCAACCACCTAATGTGCACAAGACAGAACACTTAACGCTAAAGAGAAAGCCCCCATTCAGATGGCCATTCCCAAAGGACTGTGCACCATAAACAGCTCTCTCTAGAAAAAACCCTGAGAAATGCATTAACTGCTGAAGTTCAATAGATGAAGAAAGTAGCAGTGAGCCCCACTTCCTAGCCCCTCTCTTCCCTCCTGAACAGCATTCCTGAGGCAGAGGACGGGAACGTCCATGTGGCTGTCCTAAGCTCTGACACTTGCCATTACCTCTTGCTGCTTCTCCTCATTGGGGTAGGTGTCTACAAATACTCCCAGCCCCACAAATTTGTCCATGTTTCCAAACACAGGCCCTAGAGAGAGAGAACAGATGATGAACAATGAAATAAAGCCAAGAGTTGATAAAGGAATAATATTCACTATGATGGAGAAAAAGGTAAAATTCAAATGACTCTCAGGCCTCAATTAAGACAAGAAAACATATGTAAAAGCACCCAGGAAAGTGCATGGCCTGTAGCAAGCACCCAGTAACCAGCTGTAGTTGTTATGAAGGCAAGGGAAAGAGAGAAGGCCACTGCAACCTTGTTTAGCACTACAGCTGCTCCCTGATCCCGACTAGTTGCTAAGGCGCCCCTAAAGAATTCTGCCTCACAAACACTTGGTGATGACCATGCCCCTAAGAGAGATCTGAATTCCCAATTGGACTTCTTATTGCCAAGGAGATTAGGTTGAATGAGGTGGAGTTTGCCATTTGCTTTGGGCAGTGGCTCCCACACAGCGGGGAAAATAGACACTCTTCTCCCAACTCAGGAGTGCTGAGAGGGTCACTGTGAAGACCCAGAAGGAATCTGCTCACCCAGTCATCAGTGTTCAGGAGAGCCAGTGCTTCCACCTAGTCACCAGGCCAGGTGGGCTCACAGGGAAATAAGAAGGATCTCATAAGCAAGAAATCAGCCCAGGATGAGTCAAGTTCAGCTCCTTACAAGGACTCAGACCCCATTCTAGAGACTAGACAGGCCCGTCTTCATCCAAAGACATCAAGGGAGAGGGGAAACTGCTGATATGTAGGGACATACCCTTCTCAAAAAGAAGGCACATGAAAAAGCAGGTCAGTCACACCCTACGCAAGAGCAACCCAGGGTCCCAATACCTGGCTGCATCCGATCCTTTGTGTACCAGATTGCCAAGCCATCCCCATGTAGATTCTTCTTCCCTTGCCCATGGATTTTGAAGTGCACCTGCAACTCCCAGTCTCTCAGGAAACATGGCTGAAGTGAAAAACAAAAACAAAACACACATTGGGATTAATGAGGAGTATGAAATGCAAAACCCCTGAAGTCCTCAGCAGCAGTCTACAGACTAGGAAAACATAAATGCAGGTAACACGAGGCTACAGGTTAAAACTGAAATCTAAGACTTGTTAAGTGTTTGTGTCATAAAATTAAATAGAGCCATTCAACTGTATATGAGATTTAATATAAAAAGTGAGTAAACCTCCTAATTTTCTTCAACATCTCCCACTAGAAATAGGATAGTACTCCAAAGTTAGGAAAGACACCAAAACACCATGTGAGATTGCTATCGTCATACACCCATCCAGCAAAGCGCCTCAGCCTGTAGAGTACAGGTGGCTGAATTAACTCACCTACAGCTTAAGATCACCCCTCTGACAGAAACTCTAAAAAGCTTAGCTTTACAATGGGGGAAAAGGAGACATATGTAATACTTTCAACAATAAAGAATTAAAAAAATAGCCAAACCGGTTTGGCTCAGTGGATAGAGCGTCGGCCTGCGGACTCAAGGGTCCCGGGTTCAATTCCGGTCAAGGGCATGTATGTTGGTTGCGGGCACATCCCCAGTGGGGGGTGTGCAGGAGGCAGCTGATCGATCTCTCATCGATGTTTCTGACTTTCTATCCCTCTCCCTTCTTCTCTGTAAAAAATCAATAAAATATATTAAAAAAAAAAAAAGAATTAAAAAAATAAATAAATAGCTTAGATTTTAAAGGAAGGTCAAAGCCTCATTCATTGTGAAAGAATAAGAAAAATGAAGCCATTAGGAAAAGGTTTCCAGGAATAATTAGCAGATCTATACACAACGCTAATTAATTAGACTTGGCCTTATGCCAAGCTGAGGGAGGAATAAGCTGTAGTTCCCTTGAGAAGGGGTAAGTTACAATCCCCCCAAACCTCATGCCCATGGCCAGGAAGCATAAATGCACCAAAGGAGACCACTCCCAACCTCACCACAGGAAAGCCTCTGGTGGGAAAATTTCAAGGAGGTAGGTATGAATCAGACTATTACTTTTTCTGAATTGTGTAGCAAATCTTGGGAAAATGGAGGAGGTAAGTGCTCTAAATAGTTGAACATGCCCGGCCAGTGTGGCTCAGAGGTTGAGCATCGACCCATGCACCAGGAGGTTGCCAGTTCGATTCCCAGTAGGGACATATGCCAGGGTTTCAGGCTGGATCCCCGGTAGGGGGCATGTATAAGGTAGCCGATTGATGTTGATGTTTCTCTCATTAATGTTTCTGCCTCTCTCACCCTCTCCCTTCCTCTCTCTCTAAAGTCAATAAAAACATATTTTTAAAAAAATAGTTGAACACTTTCAAGTAGAAACCAGAGTGGGTATATCTGACTTAGAGAGGCTCCTGGTTAAAGTTCACCATGAAGAAAGAAGAGAAGGAGGAGCAGACAGACCAATGGGGTTCAGCCAAAGGCTCTCCAAATAGATTGTTCTGACTCTCAAACAACATTGCTAGATCATTTTCAGTTTAATTTCTGGGAAATCTTCCAAAAGTGTTAGTATTAGGAGTAGATATTCCAAATGAAAGGGGTGCAGATACTTCTGAATTCTCCAACAGCTAACCCTACTCTGATGAACCCAGTCTCTGCGTTATCATCTTTCTGCTGTTACATTTAGATTTCAGGGCAAGAGTGAAATTCAGTGGCAGGAAGCTGCCCCATAGGGAATTATGTCCCTGAAAAGAGGGCAAGGCCCAAGAGGTTCATACTGAGCCAAGAGGTGTCTGCCACTTATCTTTGGCCTCCTGTAGCACAATGCTATACAGTTTTGATCAGGACTATGTTCTGAAACTTTGCTGCACATTAGATTCACCTAGAGGGCTTTAAGGAAAAATCCCAACGCCCAAGCATACCCAATTCCAATTAAACCAGAATCTCTGGGGGTGGAATCCAGGCACTGGCTCCAGTGGACAGCCAAACTTGAGAACCCACTGCTCAAACCAATGCTTCCTATCCAAATACGTAACTCAGAAACAACTCCCAAGGCTCTTTCTGATAGCCAGTTATAAGAAAATACAGGTAGCCGGGCCCATGTGGCTCAGAGGTTGAGTGCAGACCTATGAACCAAGATTCCATCAGGGCACATGCCCAGCTTGCGGGCTTGATCCCCAGTAGGGGGCATGAAGGAAGCAGCCAATTAATGATTCCCATCACTGATGTTTCAATCTCTCTCTCTCTCTCTCCCTTTCTCTTCTTCTCTGAAATCAATAAAAATATTTTTTTAAAAAATACAGGTAGCAGAGAATCTGAAAAAGGGCAGGAAAACCAGAGACTAGACTTGCTGCTAAGAGTTATGTAGAGACAGCTAGGAAGACAGCAGCAAAGTTTCAAACCCTGGTTAGAATAATTTAGTAACCCAGAGACCTCCATCAATGCACCTTATAACAGATGTAGGGTATAACAACGTACATTTCCGTAACTACTTTAACTTTCCAAAGCTTTTTCATGTCTATCCTCACAACAATTCTGGTGGGTGTGTAGACTAGGTATTATGAAGTGTATCTGACAGATGGAAAAACTAAAAACGGAGAAGCTAACTAACCGCCTAGGGCTCACAGTGGGTGTGTGATACATACATCTGGAACCCGAGTCTTTCAACTGGCAGCCCTTCACCTCTTCTAACAGAACACATTACCATACGCTGTCCAGGAACACGCTCAGCGCTACAACCTGGGGTAAGGGGCCAGCTTGTGCAAATGGCCCATGGAGAAACTTCTCTTCTCCCTCTGCTCCTTTAGAATTCTCTGCACATAAAATGAGCAGGGAGCTGGGGTTCACTTATCTAAAACTAATGATTAAAAAAACATGAAAAAGCGAGGTCTTAGCTTATGTGAACCCAAAAGTATTCAAGGATGCCAAGGCCATTCCCAAAAGTAAAGCGGTCATAAAAGGTTTTGAAAAAGCCCTGGAAACCAAAAAGAAAGCATCATCTTACACTTGGACAAAATCAGAGTGCAGCCACACCAGGAATACTGCATTCACTTCTTGCCGCCATACCTCAAGGAAGACAATGTAGCTAGAAAAGGTCCAGAGAAGGACAGAAAAAATGACCAAGGGCTCAAAGTGTCTTTCACATGACAATAAAACTTAAAATTAGACTCCTTAAAGTGAATTAACATGGGAGGGGGAGAAACTAGGATGAATACTACCAATACTACCAAGTCTGAATTAAATACATTCCAGAAAAGAGAATAAAAATGAATTGTGCCGAAACCGGTTTGGCTCAGTGGATAGAGCGTCGGCCTGCAGACTGAAAGGTCCCAGGTTCGATTCCAGTCAAGGGCATGTACCAGGGTTGCGGGCACATCCCCAGTAGGAGATGTGCAGGAGGCAGCTGATCGATGTTTCTCTCTCATCGATGTTTCTAACTCTCTATCTCTCTCCCTTCCTCTCTGTAAAAAATCAATAAAAATGTATTATTTAAAAAAAATGAATTGTTTGCTATAATTAGGGCAATACAGAGCATTTCTCTAAATATCTGATTTCATTATGAAGGGCATAACCTCTGAAATGAAAACCTTTAATAACCACAGAAGACAAATTACTGAGAATAGACAGTAACACTAAGCCAATATGCCTCTGGTGAACTTTTTGGGTCACCAACACAGGAGGGAGGAAGATTCTTACCACCCGGTTCCAGAGGGCACCCTGTTTACTTTGCATATCTGGAGTAAGGCGGATATATTGCGTCATCACCATGGCGTTGCCCATCAGATTCCACAATGCGGAACTGCTAGTGCCCACACCTACAGGGAGGAAGTAGATCTGTTCGTACTCTTCCAACACCAATCCATTCAGAAAGCCACCACAAGGCCCTCCAAAAGCTGCAGTCATCTCTTCTTTCCCCTTTCATGTCAATTTCCCACCTATGACACATCCATCTTAAATCCTTACCATCTTTGCAGCTTCTTTTCATAAAGCCCTTCTTAGGCGAAGACCCCACAGCACATCAGAGCTATCACTTTATCCAACCCTTTATCTCTGCCAGAGTAACCATAGCTCAGATCTATTCTTCCCTTTTTATATGTGAGTAAATTGTAGCTCCACGAAAGAAAAAAAAAAAAATCCCCGGTTAAACCAAAAAGAGCTTGATCCTCAGGCTTCTGGGGCCGAATCACATTCTTGACACAATCCCAGCATGACTTTAATACGTCAGACTGTAACGGAGAGCGAGAGCTGTGTCTACAACCCACAGCATGAGCAGGGACCCACACCACGGCGCCAGCCCGTGCACCTGCGAAGTGAACCACAATCACCCGGGGCCGTAGCGATGGGCTCCCACTGGAGCCTGTTTGCCTGTTTGCTGGCCCCCTGCCTACACTCCAGCTTGTGTGGGTTAAGCCAGCTGCACCGCTTTGGTCCCCGCTGACGCCTCCATGCATGCGCTAGTTGACAGGCTGTGCCTAGAAGTCTATGACCCCCAACAGAGCAAAGCCGCCAGCCCCTTCACCAACAGGGCTCCCGGACTGGAGAAGAACAGGTGTTTTAGCGCGCAACGGGATTTTGTCTTCTTTCTCCGTCGGGCCAAGCGCTGCCCCAGCCCCGCCTCCTGCTTTATTTCTGGCCCCTCTGTAACTCCAGCCGGAGACTGGCTCGTTGCTAGTGGCCCTCCATCACTCGCCCCCTTCGCAGTTCTCCCTCCTTCCCACGCTCCTCCGGTCCGCCGCCGAGCTCCCCCGCGTTCAGGCCCAGTCCCGGCGACATCCGAGGGCCCAGCGACGACCTGCTGGGAACCTCCGGCGCTGGTGCGGCGCCGAGAGTGGGAGGGAGGTGGACCCCTGCCCTTCGGACACGTAGCTCCCAAACTTCGCGGGAGTCCCCGCGGGCCCCTACCCATCGCCGGCAGTGGCCGGGCCACGAAGCCCGTCACCGCCCGCCTCTACCGAGGATCTCAGGTCGCGAAGCCCGCCCCATGCACGATCACCTCGTCCCGGGCGCCTCACCCTGGTAGGGCTTCGACAGCGAGTGTTCCCGCTTCAAGTACTCGAACGTCTGACCCGCCCCGACTTTTCGGGGCCCCTGCCCAGACCCCAACAAGAGGAGAAGGAGCAACATCCTGGACCCATCCCAAGCAGACAAACGCCGCCGCCACCGCCACCGCCGCCACCACCACCCAGAGGGGCCCAGAGTCGCCGCCATCTTTCTCACCACTGTCCCTTCACCAAAAGCCCGCCCCACCTCACAAGCCATTGGCCCATAGAACTACCTGCCCTGAGTCCCATTGGCTCTCATCGATTCTCCGCCCTCGCAGGTGAGCATCTCACTGATTGGCTGGCTTGGTATCAGTTGCCTTGCCAACCCAGGAAGGGGGCGTGGTCAAGTGCCTGCACTCCCTTCTTAGCATTTGTCCTGAGTTCCGCTAGGCCTGCTGGGATACGTAGGGATTTCCATTTTTCTCTGCAAGCTAAAGAAAATTTAAAAAGATAAAATGTTTCTTTTGTGATCTAGAGTAGATTTAAAGATATAAGATGTTTCTGTTGCACGCAAACGTTCTAACCTCTGTGCCATAGTACCCTCTCCTCTATGCAGAACTATCCGTCAATCAGGATGATATGGAACTGAAAGGAGAAATAGACAAATACACAACTGAAATAGCTGGAAAATTGTCAGGAAAACTAGAAAATTTATAAAAGACTTGAACAGCACTATAGAACAACTTGACCTGATGACATTAATAGAAACCACACCCAACAGCAGAAGACACATAAGTGCAAAAGAAACATTTTCCAAGATATTGTGGGTCAAAACAACAAAATTCCACAAAAACCTTCACAAATTTTAAAGAATTGAAATCACATAAAGCACATGACAGAATCTGACTAGAAATCAGTAACAGAATATTTCAGAGAAGCCCCTAAATATTTGGAAATTGAACAACTAATCTATAATTCTATAATAATAAAAGCATAATATGCTAGTTAGACTGGACGTCCTTCCTGACGACCTTCCAGACGAAGCCAGGGCTGCGAGGGAAGCCTGGGTCCCAGGTGCCAGAGGGAAGCTGGTGCTGACAGCTGGGGAAAGGAAGGCCTACTCTTGCACAAATTTTGTGCATCGGGCCTCTAGTTTTTATATAACCCAGGAGGAAGTAGGAGGTACTAGAGGACTTAGCAAGTCCTCTAAGAAATGGAATAGAGTAACCAACCCTTTACCTGGGTAAGTGCAATAATACACTCAGTTCCCAAATCCAAAAAAGTGACAGCCATCCCAGTTTCTCCTTTACTCACCAATTCCACCATGCAACCAATAATTAATCAAGCCTTGATGACTTTATTCCTATTCTGCAAAGCCATCACATCCTGTCCATCCTCCAATTTATCTGGAACCACAAAATGTTTTTCTAGTATTGTTCTAGCCACCATCATCCACGTAGCCACCCAACTGATCTAAGCAATCCACCATGCCATTTCCTCAGTGTCGATGTTAAATAAGTCGAAACTGGTAAAGCTCTTAGAGTAGTGCCTGGCGCGTAGTAAGCACTATATCATTATCATCATCATTATTAACAGAGCCCTTTTCGGGTAACCATCACTGTAGGGAAAAGATTCAGGCCCCTTAACTTGGCACACAAAGCCCTCTGCCATTGGCTCTGGCCCTCCTCTGGCCTTATTGCCCTCAGCTCCCTCCCTTCATCTATATGCTCCAGCTTCCCCTCTTCCCTCTCCTTTTCCGCAGCCCATTCCTCCTGGAGGCCTTCCTTGACTCCCTCAGGTAGGAGCAGGTGCTCCATTCTGAGCAGTGAGTGTGCCCCGAGCACTTTGCTAGATCTATGTTCCTATCCTTGTAATAGACTTAACCAAAGTTAACTCTTTTTTTACCCCTAAGCATAAATATATTTAATAAGAGAAACTTTGAATGCAAGCCTGTTTTACAGGGGGTCAACTTTTAAAAATTAAAGCTGTCACAGCCCTTGATCTTTTACACACTCCACACAGAGCAGATGCCTAGTGATAAAACATGAGGAATTGCAAAGAATCTATTCCATGTCACACCCTCACTTTAAAACCGTTCATGGGCTCCCAATTACCCAGAATAAAATCCAAACTCCTTAGTGTAGTATTCAAGGCCCTTCACAACCTGGCTCAAATCAGGTTGTACCCGTGTCTATTACAATGTGTCAGCCTGAATAATGTAGCTCAATTAGCAGATTATGTTTGTCTCCAGGCAAGGCTGGGAGCTTCTGAACCACAGGAAGCAGATCTTACTCATTCCAGGCCCTGACCACGTCCCCCTCGCTCTAACCCAGCGGTTCTCAACCTGTGGGTCGAGACCCTTTTGGCGGTCTAACGACCCTTTCACAGGGGTTGCCTAAGACCATCCTGCATATCAGATATTTACATTACGATTCATAACAGTAGCAACATTACAGTTATGAAGTAGCAACGAAAATAATTTTATGGTTGGGGGTCACAACATGAGGAACTGTATTTAAAGGGCCAGAAGTTGGAGAACCACTGCCTAACCCAGGGGTCCTCAAACTTTTTAAACAGGGGGCCAGTTCACTGTCCCTCAGACAGTTGGAGGGCCGGACTATAATTTAAAAAAAAAACTATGAACAAATTCCTATGCACACTGCAAATATCTTATTTTGAAGTAAAAAAACAAAATGGGAACAAATACAATATTTGTATTTGCATGTGGCCCGTGGGCCATAGTTTGAGGACCCCTGGCCTAACCCATTAACCAACACATGGAAGGGGTTCTAATTGTTTTGGATAAAATTATTTCCATTGGCCCTGACCTGTTTGGCTCAGTGGATAGAGTGTCGGCCTTAGGACTCAAGAGTCCCAGGTTCGATTCCGGTCAAGGTCATGTACCTTGGTTGCGGGCATACCCAGTAGGGAGTGTCCAGGAGGCGGCTGATAGATGTTTCTCTCGCATCGATATTTCTAACTCTCTATCCCTCTCCTTTCCTCTCTGTAAAAAATCAATACAATATATTTTTAAAAAATAAAAATAAAATAAAATTATTTCCATTGTATTTCTATGTCAGCTGGAATTTATATTGTGGTAAAATATACATTATTTGAAATTTCCATTTTAACTCCCCCCCGCCCCCCCCCCTTCCAAATCTTCACCCATGGATACATTTTCACTGCTTTCTAGAGAGAGAAGGCAGAGACAGAGAGAGACATAGAGCAGTTGCCACACCCAAAACTTAGGTATGTGCCCTGATCAGGAATCAACCTGCATTTGGTGTACGGGACAACATTCCAACCAACTGAGCCACCCAGCCAGGGCCCATTTAACCATTTTTAAATATACATTTCAGAGGCTTTAGTGCATTTATACTGTCAGCTGGATTTTTGATAGATTATCTCAGCAGATCTCTCATTGCAAAATTCATTATGATGAAGAAAAGAGGAATAAAGGAGAGCGGGTGAAAGACAAAATGCGCAGGACAATAAATCCAATGATTTTGTTCGGATTCTTACAATAGGGAGATTGATCATTAATGAGGAACGTATTAAAGAAAAGGAAGGTGGCCTGGTAAGGAGGTGACCAAAACGGTCTTATCTGAGTCATCAAAACAAGGTGGATGTGGATCTCACCTTGGGAAATTCTTTTAAAGTCAGCCATTTCTCAGAATTCAAAATGGGGTGTTGGGGAGTCACAGAGGGGGGGATTTCTTGACTGTAGCTGCTCTCCAGAAGTATGGGGTTCAGATAAAGCTCTACGCTGTCAGGGTGCTGAGGGGAGGTGAAGGGAGAGAGAAAAAGGAGCCATGCCCCCCTCCAACACTGCTCTACACATGCCTAGAACCTTCTGAAAGCCCAGTGAGGTCTTGACCTACCATCCTTCCAGCTGCTTAATATTCCTCTCTGTCTCGGTGGAATCATCTCCCATGATCCAGGATTGCACACCTTCAGGGCATGGGGCATTCATACACAATGCGATTTGTGGGTTCCAGCAGTTCTGGCTGATTCCTCTACTTTCCTGTCTTCAAAGCCAAACAGGTACCTTGATTTAGGAGCACCTTGAAGCCTGATGCCCATGCTACCCTCCACGACAGAGACTCCAAGGCAGCGCCGTGGCCCCATCTGTCCCTCTCCCTCCCACTTTTCACTTTTTATTTTTTTCAATAATCATGCCTCGGATAAACCTCATTGGCTACGATACTGCCACTGCGCAAAGCTAGCACCCTCCCACCGCCAGGTCTATCATTCCTCCCTTCTCAGGGACCCAGTTTGGGCTCTGAGGTTGGGCCCATCTTCAGCCCAGGTCGAGGTTGGCCTGCCCCCTCCCTTCAGTTCTCTGAGCAGACCCTGGAGCATAGAATGGAACACTGACTGACTACTTTCCAGTGGTGACTTACAAATCTGGCCTCCTAACAAGCCTCAATTAAATAGCCAGGAGTGCTTTTGGCATCCCCAGAATCCTGGTTCCCACTCCCAGACACCTAATTCATCGGTCTGGGGTAGGACCCAGGGGTTTGGTTTTGAAAATATCTCCCCAGAGAGTTTGATACTCGGCCAATTTCCAGAACCAAGGCCCTCTCACATCTAGGATCTCAGTGCGACGATGTCTTGGTGTGATGGGCATTTGTACTCAGTTCAGAGAGTGAATTTCAAACAGGATACAGCATCTGAATTGAGAGATAACATTTAGAGATTTGCTTTAAAATAGTCTGGGGGGTCCTAACCGGTTTGGCTCAGTGGATGGAGCGTCGGCCTGCGGACTGAAGGGTCCCAGGTTTGATTCCAGTCAAGGGCATGTACCTTGGTTGCGGGCACATCCCCAGTGGGGAGTGTGCAGGAGGCAGCTGATCGATGTTTCTAACTCTCTATCCCTCTCCCTTCCTCTCTGTAAAAAATCAATAAAATATTAAAAGAGCCCTAGCTGGTTTGGCTCAGTGGATAGAGTGTTGGCCTGCGGACTAAAGGGTCCCAGGTTTGATTCCAGTCAAGGGCACATGCCTGG